TTGAAAACATCTTTTTGTTGAATCATTCAGTTGTTGAATGGTACCATATTTGGGTGATAATGGATCTGCCAACAAAATAAAGATTCTTCATCGTTCGAGCGGAAAAAGAATAAATTAGCGACTATTTTATAAAATGTCTTTTGTTGAAAGCCTGGAAAAGTTTCAATCGATTTGTGCGAAACCAAATACAAAAGATTAGATTTCTTCAATACAAACGATACTATTCATATTTGGGTATTCCGTCGCCCGAATGATTGAACAATTCATATTTTTAGTGCCGCAGCTTATGGCTTGTGTTGTGCTTTATCATAAACGGATGGGTGCACTTCCCAGTGTATCGAAATAAATAATAAATCATTTATGACACATCGTGTTTTTTTTTGATGAATATGGCAACGGTATCGTATAATGTCTCATTTTTATTCTAGATTTAAAAACACAGTCTTATCGAAATACAATTGATATTATAGGTCAATGGAAATTGATACCGATTGCAATAATTAGAGAAAATTTGCTTTCCACTAGTTCTATGGATTATTGATGAATGGAAATTTACGTTCACTTTTTTTGTATTTGAAATTTTTCTTACCTTCAAAATACTACAGATGAAAAACACTTTTTTTCTTTTACTTTGTGCTTTATTTGACATATTATCTCTTAGTTCGTTTTATTAAAGCCTTGGTGAGTCGGTCCTATTCGGCAGGTGGATGAAAAGTATTAATTGAATCAAAATGTGGATTTCGCGAGTCCATTCGTTTCAAATGATAATCACAAAAAAGAGCCACATTAAAATCATTTTAAATAATTTAGTGGGCTATTTCGTGTGGTAATTTGAGTGATTTTATGGTGTGCATGTGTGTGTTGCGGTTTTGGAATATATCCACATTTTATGTTAATCCAATTTGAGTGTGTGTTGAATCCAAATTGATAAATAATACATAAAAACTTATCCAAACCGCCCAAAAATGTCGATTTACTACGCTTTAATGGTAGGTTAATGTATACGTTCTATTACTTTTACGTTGATAATTTTGTACTCGAATTTGGAAAAGTTGGCTCGATCTGATATTTTTGCGATTTGTTTTGTAAAGACAGCATTCAAAAACCAGGAATTCGACAAACAATTTTCAGTGATTGAAACTAAATCAATAGATGTATTCATATCATGAAACAAGTATTTCTTTATGGCAAAATATATTTACAAAAAAGACTTTATACAATTCAGATCAGTGTAGCTCCCACTCCAATACAAGTTTCACTCTCTACTTTGCATCCAATCGCTACGAAACGTTTAGCTGCCTAGCAAGCATTGTCTGCATATTATCGCTTTGCTGAAATAGGCGAGTTCTATTTACGAACAGTTCAATGCATCCAATGCGTTCAAACAATTCAAATCATACAAATCGAATACTTATCTTTTTATCGAAAATTGTAGAAAATATAAACTATTTTAGCATATATTTTTCTTTGCAATGTTATTTCTATTGTAAAGTCGAATTGTGCATATAGGTAAGTGAAAACGTGCGAATCGAGAAATTGCTTGACAGCATCTGTTTTGTTTGTAAAGCGAAAGCATTGCAAATAGTTTTTTCACGAGAAAATGTCTCAAGATGTGACGTCACTTATTCTTACCAAATATAAAAGAAGTGCTTGAGTGCATGTTTTTTTAAAACAGTCACTTTTCTTTGACATCCAAACACATGCACCTAAGTATCTTTTTCGACCTTGCATTGGTGACAATCGTTCTGGATTTTATTGCTATTGAAGTACAAACTACAAACTACACACGTATAAACTCAAACGAACCACGGCACATTCACTGTTTTTTTAAACTGAAATGGGTAGAATTTTGCTGACACAAACCTTGTGAGAATAGAACAAACTAAATGGAAAATATTTACTCTTTGCTACAGTTGAAAATCTATATGGCAAAATTTTGTATTATCTGAATGAAAAGGCGAACAGAAGTGGTTGCAATTTATTTGCCTTGCATAAGATTTTCAAATTGAGTTTGATTTTATTGAAATGTATCTCTTGTTATGTTCGTTCGATGTCAACGAAAGTCGGCAGCCACATGTTGTCTCGGTTTTCAAGATTTGGTTTTTGCTGCACCATTCGTTTCCATCAATAAATTTATCACGCATATTGACATACAGACACATTACCAACAGAATACCATTAAAAAGGTTACTACATATTCTCTACTTGGTTTGTTTGCCATATAAAAAAATCACGATCGCTTTGTATGCCTTTTGCTTAATTTATCTCTCCCACTAAGATCGAGAATTCAGTTCGTTTGTTTTTGTTTCTCCGATTTTTTTGTCTGGTAATTTCAGTTTTATTGTCTATGCTAAGCCGTGCTCAAAAGTCAAGTTCAATGGAAAACATATCACGAATCAACAGTCGTTGTGGTACAATGCCGAGCTGAAAAGAGAACATGATGAATGTTTTATCAGATATCATTTCTCTAATGCCATTTAATAGCTATACTCTATTCAATTTCAAACTATTTCACTATTAGCCGAGGATTTTGTCTACATAATTCAATTTGGAGCTGAAAGCACTTCCAAATGTAGCTTAGATTGTTAAATTAAGTCTGGTCTATATCATGGAATTTTATGATGTCATTAAGTATGAGAATAATAAGAAACAATGAAAACGTTTTCTTAAAGCCGTCGGAACAAATAGTGTAAGCAAGTGCTCGGATTTTTTTTCAGTCAATCATTATTCATGATTATGTGGCGTCCCCTAAGATACCAGTCACTGAACCTTTAATGCTGCTGTCTACACTGGCAGTCATTTGAGATTCAGTATGTGGTAGAGAAGATGCACCACTTGCAAATTCACAATAGATGGTTAAAAAAAATAACATTACAAGCATATAGCGTTTCCGGACATTGGGAAAAAATTCCAATCGTATTTTAGAATGGCAAACAGAATGATGTAAATATTTTATCGCTTCCAAGCTTTATTACTGAAGTTTGTAAAGGACATAAAACTGTATAATATTATTTGATGAAGCTTCTCAACCAATTGAAATTATAAATATTTCGACCCAACTATCAGTGATTCAATTTATGTACTTTAATTGAAATGGATCGAATTTTACTTGTCTCATATCATACTAAGATAAAAGACGGAACAATGCTTTTCAAAAGATCACAATTCAATTATATGCTAAAAGCTCTACACTTTCTCGTTGATGTAGCAAAGCGTTAGTTTGATGTGCTCAAACTTTTTCTATCATTTCAGTGAAAAATACTTCACATCCGCTTCAGTAGTAGAAGGTATTTGAAGAAGCCTGCATGAATAATTTCTTTGTTTACTTCGTCCATTTGATGATCCGCTTTCAGAGTGAAATTCGTTCATTTGTTGCTCTACTTTAAGAATGGAATGCTTAAGATGGGCTTATTGTGTAGTTTTAGTCATGAGAATTCACTCGTAGTATCGATGATTTCATATTCCGGTTTGTAAAAAAATGACATGAAATGAGCTCAAGAAGATAGATACTTCCTTTCATCGATTGCATTAATGCAAGAGTGTTTGATGATTCGGATCATATACTTTCAATGTAGATTGAATACATCCATTGTGTTGTATTATGTCATTTAGATCCCAAACGAAATAAGTATTAGTAATTCCATAATTTTTCGTTTAAAATATCCAAATGTTGTTTGAATTTATTAGAATTTATAAAGAAGAAATCCTTTCTATAACATTCAATGGTTACTTTCTTATCTTCTTAGTTCTCAGGCAATAGATTTTTTTTCTACCTTTATTCCTTGATTATTATGCTTATTTGATGCCATACAATTCACAGATTTACATGCAATACAATGAACAAAGAATGAAGATATATTTATTGAATCCTTTTCCTGTCAAATGAGCGTGACTATTATACACAAATTGCTATTTGACCGAAATAACATTTTCGAACATTTTCACTGAATGGGAATAAATCTGTGTAATAATAACGAAAGATTTTATTGAATGGAAAATGTGATTCACATTATAGTTTTAATACTATTCGAGATACACGCTCATGTGCAACGGCATTGTGGAAATAGTTAAATTGTATTTTCATAATTTATGGATTGAATAATCGTAGCATATTTTTTATAATGAAAAGGTGTAATAATATTATCAGTATTACTCAAATGTAGCATTTATTGATATCTAAAATGTGTTTCTCTATTCGCTAAACAATAAAAAAGCAGCACAGATATGAGTGACAGTTTCACTTTATCGGTTTACTTCACCGGGCAATTTATGATTTATGAGATTTTAAGTGACTTTTTGGCAGTGGTACAATTACACGCCAAAACTGAGAAAAGAAATGCATCAACAGTCTTGTTTAGATTTTATACAAATATTTTTTCGACTTCAGAAGCGAAAACTCAATTCGATATGTAATAAAAGTCAAGATGAAAAAATGGACAAAATTGTATATTTGTTTCTCTCAAATTGCCTTTTCACCATTATAATTTTAAATAGCTGCGTCACAGAGAATCTTCTCAACAACTTGGTGATTATATGTACATACCAAAATGTTATTCACATCACATTTTTGAACAATGAGGAAACTCTATCTCGATTAAAAATGTTTTTAACGCACTGTCATTTTTAAATTTGTAAACAATTTTTGCCAATTTGGGCTGGTTTAGTATTGATCTGAAAATCAAGATGCCAATTTTTATTGGAACGAATCCATGAAATGACTTTGGGGAGAGAATTGGGAGCGACCATAATCCATTTGCGGATCAGCAGATACTAAAAAATAAATAATAAACAACACACAGAAATTATGCTCCATAAGAGACTGTATAAAATGCAAAACTGTAGCACTGCTAGCGCCACTACGGACAACTATGGAGTTCTAGTCTGTTGGTTACAACTGAGCAAAAGTCTTTTCACTATTTGGCGGCAACTTAGTGTAGATTACATTGAATTCCGTCGTGGCGCTAGCAGTGTGACAGTTTGGGCATAATTTCGGTACGATAAACAAGTATGATTGATTATCGATTTATTGAGTAAACATTAGAAAGTACAATTGTCAAAATGTGAGGTAGATAAAAAGTCAAAAAAATATATGGTGCTGTATTTGCAAAAAAATACCGTGTAAATTCAATAAAAAGCCATGTATATTTAGTTTCCGTTCAAAGAGTATGAAGTTTGACGCCTGAACATTCTATATTTTGGTTTGTAATTATTGCCTGTCGAGCCTTTCGAATGTATAGCTTCTTCATAGGTCGGCGGTTCTAAAATTGAAAATAAAGTAGGTTTCATAGCATTGTGTACATTTTCTTTTCGATTTGCACTATATAGTATGCATACCATCTACTACATATGGTGGTGCAGAATCGTTATTCATCATTGGTGGAGCTGATGGTTGAATGTTGGGAGCAAAAGGAGCAGAAGGGCTATACGCATCTGGAATCACTGTCTCTGCAAAGTCTTCTATTGGTTTCGTACCAATTGTGATGGGTAATATTATTTCTGGATTATCGCAGCAGGTCCCTGAACCGCTTATCTGCAACGTAATTTCAATTATTGATTGGAACTATCGAAACGATGTTGATTCGAAATTCAAAGCAAAAACAACTAACGCGAATAAAATATCTAATTTTGATGATGCCGCTGGTCGTTTCGTCACTTGGTGGAAATGATGGAACTTCTAAGTTAATACGTATTATTCGTTTCTGATTTGTTTCAACACCACGTGATGATTCTTTCTCCACAATGCAAATGGTTTGATGCTTACTATCACCTTCTGCATAATACGTGATGCTCTGAAAACGAAAGAGCAAAATTATTCGAATTCATTTTATTCTACACTCATACATATTTAACACTCACTTGTACCAATTCCATCTTAAATTCCGGCACTCGTGTGTTGCTTCGATTGTCTGCGTTGAGTGTCAGATTTATCGTTTGACCTGGCGCATAACCGCCGACAGGCATTTGAGCGACTATTGACAATGGATCCGATGGAAAGCAGCACAGTAAAAAGCAAGGATAATACGTATGATTTTCTTCAACGACAACAGGATTCTGTGGAACACAAATTATAGTAATGAATAAGCACAAGTCCAATGCAAAATATAAAAACCAAATGAATTATTACACGAAGTTCCAATTCATCATTTAGATCAAGTGGCTTAATAACGGTGAATGGTTGTTCAAACTCATCGTCGGGCCAATTTGGAATGTCAAGAACAACAGTAGCTACATATCTTATAAATCCGAATGTCCCTTTAAATGTAAAAACGAATTAATAAAATAGATTCATGTAAAACTTAAGAAAATTGATAAAACCTTCAAAAGACGATGGTAAGTGAGCAGGTAATCTAAACTGAAAATTGAAGTTGTGTTCTCCACGCCCAAGTTGCATTGAACCTGTTAACATTAAATTCAATAAAATTGGAAATCACATAATTAAAGAACAAATTTGAAGAAAAGTAACTTTGTACCATTGTCTCCGCCAGCCAATGAAATTCTTTTAGTTAAAAAATTTTCATGGCCTCTATAATATCTTCGTTTGGTGCGATTGTGATTGCTGGATCTATCCCGTTTTTTTATATACCACTCTGTGTGCGAATCTCCACTAAATTTTATAAATACGCTGCGAACAGTTTTTGCTTCAGTTAATCTCAACTGAACATTGCCTAAAAAGTACAAAATAAAATATTCATAATTGCACGAGTTTACAAAATTGATAAGAAATAGTGATCCATATTGCCAATTACCATGAAGTAAGTCATTTGAGTAAACCACTTTATCTGGATTATTTTCAAAATTTATTACACAATTTGGTCCCATGTTTAATTTCTCCGTTAAATCTTTACTGAATTGTACTTAATGCCTTTACATAACGTTCGAAAATCAAAGAAAAACTCTTTTAGCTATCAACAAACTAAATCAAATGACCGAATTCATTCAATTTACTAAACTTTTGACATTTGGAAAAGAAAGTGTATGCGGATCGATCTTGCGTACCGCGTTGAAATACATATACACTGCGATTAGAGTCACACATTTCACTGTATAGAATGTTTAGCCGGACGACGTTTGTATTGTTCACTGGATAGTATTTATATTCATCAGCTGCGGCCGTACGTCTATGCGTATAGCATTACGAATCCACGCTTAACACCGCAACGCGTCTATTAGCCGCGAATCTTGTTTGATTCGGACTTCATATTTAATGAAATCGAGCTGAATGAAGTCACCACATTTTATCCAATAAATGATCAGAACATGAATTTTAAAACTAAAAATGAAAGGAACAAAGCAATTGTTTTGTAAAGAATTTAGAACATTCAATTGTTGCGGTCTATTCGCGTCTCGCATGTATCATAAACAACGATTCATGCACGGAAGTTATACATGCTATTGTTCGGTCATGAATATTTGGAGGGAGCGCAACATACAAACATGTGTACGATTCTAGTTTCAATAGCAAATATCAATTATAGCAAATATAGCCCAGAAGTTTGTCATATGACGTCATTTTACAATTCTATCAAAAAAGTCATTGTATACAACTGAATGAACTTTGAATTTCGGTACCGAATAAGATGGACTAAATTGTGAGATTTTGAATAGAAGCTACATGGAACAGCCTTCTTATACCATTTTCACTATAATTTCTATCGAAAAGACATCTTGAGGAAAAAAACATTTCAGTCTGGAGACTTCTGATCACCAGCCGCAACATTGACATCCGTAGTTTTCTATGTGTTCACAACTCCAAAATCCTTAACTGAAGGTAGAATTAAAATAAAATAATAAAATAGATGGCTATAGCCAACTGTTATCGAATTTGATTTGAGTTATATTTTTCACTACTGCATTCGACTGAAAAATCAACTTCAATCGCGGTTGGCTTTTGCATAAGGGAAGCAGAATTGTTTTCATCTCTTTTCACAAACTTTTTTTGCAAACTAAAATTCGACTTCTAGAATGGTTTATATCGTAATTTGATTCTTCACTTGCTTAACTTGCTATTAGTCCAAGTATTGGATTTCATTTTTTTGCCTGAAAACTAAAACAAACATATATTTAGGAGAACGTCAATGTTTACTGTGTGAATTTCACACTGTGAAATATTATAAACGGAATGCGTTTCTTCTCACTATTCAGCAATGTACATAAGTTTGTGTTTGTAAAATAAATTTGTATGTATGTGTATTTGGTGATGCTGTTGTGCAAACAATTAAATCAGAGTTCTTATTTTTTTCAAACACGTGTCAGTTTTAACCAAAAATTACCGCTGCTTATAACGCGCCAATAATTTTGGAATTTGCGTTGAATTGTATATAAATTCTGTTGATTAAGAATCTTAATTTAAGATGGAACAACCATTGAACATTTTGTGGCAAAAAGGTGTTTCGTCAGATGTGTACATCGATATATTTGATATTCGGAACAATGAGTTTCCTTTGAGCGCAGCGAAGATATTAGTTGATGGACTATACAAAGGAGCCAAGAGTTCTGGGCTGCAAAAAAGCGATTTAAATGCAAAACTAGTACGAGAACAAGCAAATGCAATATTTGCACAAGGTAAATACTATGATGCAATGGAACAATATAACCTTGCAATGTCGATGGCCAAAAATTGCCGTTCTGAAGAATTCGGTCTTGCGATTGGAAATCGAGCATCTTGTTTCTTTAATTTGAATATGATCGAGAATTGTTTGGCTGATGTTCAATTGGCAAAGGGAACCAACTATCCAAAGCATTTAATGCATAAGCTGAATGAGCGCGAGATCAGATGCACGAAATTGATGGCCAAACCACAATTCAAATCGGCTTCACACGATATATGGGAACCAACGTTGAGTTTCAATGAGCATAATGAATTTGCCGGCGTAGCTGATTGCTTGAAAATTAAGAAAAACGATAGATTTGGACGTCATATCGTCACCACATGTGATTTGAAAATAGGCCAAACGATTCTGGTTGAACGTCCGTATGCTGCAGTACCACCACGCGAAAATGAAGGCCGCATGCGTTGCTGGTATTGTTTCAAAGAATGTATGAATTTCATTCCGTGCAAAAGTTGTCTTTGTGTGATTTATTGTAATGAGGAGTGCATGGAAATGTCCTTTCACAAAATGGAATGCAACAGACCAGCAGCGCTGTCACGCAAGGAAACATATGAGCTAATCATGCGGATGATTTTTAAGGTAATATAATTAATTTAATACATTTATGTACGATGTTGACTATGTCATTGAATTCAATTCCATACAATAGATTAACGCTGATTTCACCGATGTCGATGCATTAATGGATTTGGTGCAGTTGCTAATTGACGGAAAAAAACCACCAATGAACTTGACGCAATCCCAAAAATACTTCTGTGCGCTTTTTCAACTAGTTCATCACCACAAGAAGGTGTCAGCCTACGGTTTGGAACGGATGCGTGCATCCGCAGGCATAGTGATTTTGACAACTTCGCGATACCCCGAATTCAAACGAAAATATCTATCATTGAAACACAAACGTTTCCTTCAGCATTTGATTTTGCATCTATTTCATGTGGCTGAGCATGCGATTGATATGTTCGAATACTTTCAAAAAGACACCACCGCAATTATAGCCAATTATGAATATCGTCATTTCGCAAGAGGAATGTATCCATTTGCGTGCTACATTAATCACTCGTGCGTTCCCAATATCTGCTGGTTTCATGTCGATGATCGTCTTGTCTGTAAGGTTATTCGGCCCATTAAAAAAGGCCAACAAATTTTCCGGTCATATTTGTAAGTGTTCAAAGATATAAAAAACAATCACATATTACCTGTCCACATACATGATGTCTACTAGATTTTTTCGTTTTTTTTTTTCTTCTTTTAAGCCCTGGACAAAATTCTTACAAGCAACTACCAATTCTCAAGTTGGAATTGCAATTACGTTATCATTTTGAATGTGAGTGTATGTTGTGTACGAATGACGATTGGTCCCCATTGACAGACGAAGTTGACTTCTCGGATGACCCATTGTACACAATCGGAATGAAACCATTTTGCATGACAGTCAAAGAACTACGCAAACTATCTCGATCGCAAATTCAGCAATACGAAAAGAATGCCATTGATTTTTTGGTAAAGTATGGCCGTTTTCATCCAGTGAACGATACAATGGGAATGCAAAATACTTTGCTCATCATGTGGAACGTGCTTGCAGCACGCCAATAGAAGTATCTGAAACACATTTGTTTTTCAAAATATTTTGCTTTTCAATAATCTCTTGAACATTCGTGATTAAATAATGTCCATAAAAATACTGAATAAAGTAAAAAAAAAAAACAAATCATGTGTTTACGTCAACGACCGTGTTTTTATTGCTATAGATTTTATTCTTGTTTATTTTTAGCAAATCGAATATTGTTGAGAAAAAAATATGCAAAGTCAAGGCAAAGTATTAATGAAGTGTTCAAGTCCCAATAATATGTCAAAGTAACATTTAATTCTTTAATTTGCAGTAATTAAAAACAAAAGATTGATTGATTTTCTTGACTTATTAAATAAATCTCAAGCAAAAGATAGTAGAAAAATCGAGATCTAGAACTTTGCTGGATAAACTTTTCATTCATTAAGTAGTAATACAAAAAATCTTCATCTCAATGATAGATTTATTCAATGTGAATTGTAAAAAGAATGAAATACTGTTTGTAAGTGATTTTTAGCTGACTCACTGATTTCAATGTTTTCTATATACTTACAGATACTTACAGTAGTCAGTCGATTGGGCCATTTTGTTTTTATTCGTGTTTTGAATGTAGAATTAATAAAAATGTAAACGCAAAAGTGCTAGAATTGTATCAAAAAAGTTTAATATCAATTTCAAATAATAAACATTAAAATTGTATCCATTTTAGATTGTGATTCTATTAAATTGTCCATCTTGTCTTAAGTATATTGTATGTCAATGACATTAAACACGAACTTTTATTCCTGGAAAACCTTTTGAACCTAAGCCTGTGACCTTAAATAATCTACCGGACAATTCGGATTGTTTAGAATCTGGATTGATTCCAATATCCGCAGCGTTGACCGCGATTGAGGCTGAAAAAGTAAATAACAATAATTTCTTGTATTAAACCATGATACATAAATAAATAGTAATCAACAAATTTTCCATTTACCTGTTGTCACATATAAAATATCCAAATTGGGTCCACCAAACGCGACTGATGTCACTTTCTCTGCCGGAATTGGTATCTCTAATACGACTTTCCCTTTTCTAGAAACCATTTAATAAGTTTGTAAATTTACTGCATGAAAATAGTACATTTAATTTTATTTACTTTGAATCGACTTTGAGAACTTTTGAGCCACCAAATGCAGCTACAAATAAATTTCCATCGGTATCAATTGTCATTCCATCGGGGAAAAATCCGGTATTTTTTCCATTCACTTTAAAATCAATGGCAACGCGTTCGTTAGCTAGAAAAATTGAAAATTTTATTGACAGAATTCTCATTTTTGATTGCTGTACATACAAATGTCGCCTGTGCTTGGATCCCAATCGTATTCTCTTATGTCGAATCGGCACGAGTCGATGTAATAGAATTTGTTTTCGATTTCATTCCACGCCATTCCATTAGAAATGAATATGTTCGGAATGAGTTCGTATACACCATCACCTTTTATGTATTTGTAAAATTTACCCGAGGCTACCTCAGATATATCTCCTTTTGATTCTATGCGCATTGTTCCGCCATAAAATCTTCCCACCGGATCAGCTTTTGCGTCGTTAAATCGATTATCTGGTTGGTCATCTTCAACCTCAAAAGCGATTGGACCGAGAAGTGCTTTTCTTGTTTTACCGTCCCAATGCACAATTCCAACGCGTCGACCTAGCCCCACTGCATATTCATCAAAATCACACGTTTTTGTTGTATTTGCAACGGGAATTATGAAGCCAACAATGGGTTCTCCATCAATTTTTGCCGAATAAACTTTATTTTCATTGTAATCATAACGCAATACAGATGCATCAGTGCCGTAAATATCGCAATAAAATAAACTCTGTGATTGTTCATCCCAATGTGGGCCTTCACCCAAAATGGATTTTGGGGATGATGCAACAACTTCCACTTTAAAAGACATCTAATTGGTAAACAAATATTGAACATTTATTCAATTTAAAATAAATAAAAAATAAATACAAAATCGAAACTACTTATCGAAAACAATAAAATAAATTAGACTAACTTTTAACTTTCAAGAATGATACTTTAATACACAAGCGTTCACTGTTGAACTGACGAGTTGAGTTCAATATGTGCTGAATATTTAAATACTATCTCTAGTAAATAGGCGCGTCCAATATATTTGTGATGTAAATATTGCTATATGTAAACAAAAACTCTGAAAAAAAAATCAATTTTTGCTGTATAATTAAAAGATTGTTGCATGTTGTATTTGAATCTCGAATAACGTCAAAACATTCGAGAGCAAAACAACAATAATATTGAATCTGAGGTAGTGAGAATGTCGACCTCCGTCGATAATCTAATTGAACTCTCTCTCCCCCTCCTTCTGGTGCAATCGTGCGTTGTCCAATGTTGATATATATGTTCCGTCTCATTTCATTTTGTGCGACTGTGCTATCAACGATTTTGTATTTATTTCGTTTATAAATATTTTCTTGCTAACGATCATTTGGTTTCTTCTATGATAACTAGTCGCTTCGCTTCATTGATGTCATTCTACTTCAAATGAAATATTTTTTTTTGTTTTTCTTTCGTTGCCATTCTTAAAATATAAAAAATAATGCAAATAATTTATTCAAATTTATTAATAAACCTTGTAATTTCTCATTTCGCTAAGCGCTATTAGTTAACAATCTACGTATTTGACTAATATTTGACTAATTTGATGAACGTGAATCATTTTTCAACTGTTTTTCAAACGATTCGTCAATAATATCGATTAATTAATATAATTTATAACATTAATATTAATATCATATTGGAAAAATAAATAAATGAAACTGAAAAAACTGCAATTTAAATTTTTTGAAAAACAAACTCTTACTTCAAAGATAAATCTTACATTTTCTTGTTCCATACATAGATGAACATTATTCAAAACTTCTTTATTATTTAATTTTTAGACAGTTGAATTCATGCAAAAGCGAAAGTCAGAAAAACGGTGAGAGTACAACAAATTGAATTTCTTCTATTTTGCAAATGGTTTTTTAAAGTGCATTCAAAAAGGCATACTCCACTTGTGTATAGAGCTTTTATGTCAAATGAATGTCAAGAAACAAGTTTCCCGAAAGCTTATATTAGACAATTTTCAGTACGAGCAATTTACCTTCGTTTGAAACGTGTGTGTCTAATTTCAATTTATTTGTTGACTGTTGAAAAAATAAAATCAAGTATATTTTATCTCAATTACGTATTTATTTTATTGTAGACAATTTGTGCTTATCAGTCAATAATAAGATATGCCTTCGAATTGGCTTATTTATTTTTCCATTGTACTCTTTCACAATTGTTTGTTTCATATTAAACACGCACTTTGACTCCCGGCAATCCCTTAACATTCAAACCTGTGACTTTGAAAAGATGACCTGCTAAAGGTGGTTGCTCTCCGTCACGTGTTGTGGCAGCTGTAAAAAAATGAAGTGTCATAATGATTTAATTGATTGTCCGAGAATGAATGTGAGTCTTCTCCTGAGAGTTTATTGAAATGTAACACCGCCATACAAAAAATGCTGACTGTCAGCAATTTTTGTATGGCGGTGTTACATTTCAATAAACTCACAGGAGAAGACTCACATTCATTCTCGAACATTCAATTGAAAATCTTTCTAAGAATAACGATTAAACAAATATCAATATACCAGTTGTGACAAACAAGACATCCATATTTGGTCCTCCGAAAGCAACTGATGTTACTTGCTTCGCAGGAATCGGAATTTCCTGTACGATTTTTCCTTGTCTGCGAATAAAATGAAACGTATTAATTTCATGTGTCTTGTTTGAAAGTTGTAGGAAAATTCCTACATCTGATTGAGATATTTTGAAAACTTTCATGTATACTGTTTTTGCATTTCATGTTACTTGATAACTCTTACTCATTCATTTCGAAATAGAAATAAAATCAATTGTTATTCGACAAAGTACTCAAAGGTGTTGTTATACGATTTTGCTTCATTATCAACGCGATTTAAACAAAAAAATGATTTAATTGATTTGAAATTGAAAATCTTGTTAAGAATAACGATCGCATGTGTGTTAACTGTTAAGAAGTCAATTGGAATAATGAGCTCATGTGTGTTAATACTTACTGTGGATCTACTTTAATGACTCGAGATCCACCCCATGTGGCCACATATAAGTTCCCTTCTGCATCTATGGTCATGCCGTCAGGAATGAAATCGGGTGGTTGACCGTTTACTCGGAAATCAATTGCAACACGTTCATTGGCTGTAAAGAAAAATAGTTAATTTTTCGAATATAGATCATTCGAACAGTAGCAAAATACTACTTACAAATATTTCCATTTTTCGGATCGTAGTCAAATTCTTTGACATCAAGTTTGATTGAATCGATGAAATAGAATTTATTTTTCTTTTCATTCCACGCCAATCCATTCGAACAATGGACATTGTGCAGCAAATCTTTGACACCTTCACCTTTGATGTATCTGTAGAAAGTGCCACCCGCTCTGTCAAACAAATCGCCTAATGCCTCAAAACGCATACTTCCGCCGTAGAATCTTCCCACCGGATCTGCTTTTGCGTCGTTAAATCGATTAGTCTTCACGTCTTCATTGACTTCAAATGCGATTGGTCCAAGTTTGGCCTTTTCAGATTTTCCATCCCATTGTACAACTCCCACGCGCGTACCAATGCCAAGAGCAAATTGATCAGTTTGATTTGCAACCGGCAATATAAAACTCACCACCGGTTCACCATCAATTTTGGCCGAGTACACTTTATCTTGTTTGTAATCGTAGCGCAAAATTGATGCTTCTGTACCATAAATATCGGTATAGTACAACGATTGTGATTGTTCATCCCAATGTGGGCCTTCTCCTAATTCGCTTTTTGGACTTGGAACCACTTCCACTTTGAAAGACATCTGAAAGTAAAAAAAGACAGAAGAAAATTACTTAAATTACGGATATTCGAAGAAAAAAAAACAGAAACTTTGCGTTTACAATTAATTATCAAACTGTTCCGTAAGATGGTTCGAATTGTAATGATTTAAAATGAAGAATAACCAGAGTTATATATCATTTGTTTCATGTAATTTTTGTGGATTTTTTTTTTTGTTTTTTTCTGATTAAAATTTATGATTTTTTTGCAATATTTGTTCTTACATGCTATAAGCAAAAAAATACTCTTCTTGATCTCCAAACAAAGTAAAATTCACTTTTATGTTCATAACCATAAAATCAACGTTATCTCAGATGTTTTGGATTTTTTTTATACGTTCTGTTAAAAAAATGTATACTGGGCAAAATAATAATACCAATTAAATTCGCTTTTGTGCGCACAAAAAAGAAATTATTATATAGATCGTTAAAAGTGAAACTCACAGCGATACCGAACATAAAAACGACAATAAAATGACAAGCAAGAATGGAATACATTTTTCAGCGTAATAAATGATTTATTGAAAATAATTCCAGCAATTTCTTTAAGAATTTAACGCAAACTGATTGATATGCGAATAAGACATCCTCTATTTATATTGATTTTCATTTGCTTAATTTGAATAGCTGAAAATTTGTATTTTAAAATAGAATTCTAGTGAATTGATTTACTTGGGTTTTTTTTTGTACGTTGAAACTCAGTGGGCCAAATATACTTACATATGTTTTTGAATTACCTTCACATAATTTTATTTAAACATTACTTAAAATTGTTTTAACCCGTTTTTGATAGCTGAATCAATTTTTTCCCTTTTCATATTTTATGAAAATTTAAATTTCGCGAAAAAATAACGGTTTTTCTCTAAATATTCGTCAGTAAGACCAAAATCTAGGTTCAAAGTGCTTATGTTATCGGTTGAATTACAAAGTACAGAAAATTATTGTTTTCTTGTAGAAAAACGAAGATCGAATATGGTTTAAAAACATCAAAACACAATAAAACAAAGCAAACAAAAACAAACTCTTGCCAAACGAACGGAAAAATTAGTAAATCAAGTACAAGTTTTAATTTGTTATTTACAACTTACGATTAACTCGTTTCGATTCAAAATCGTACAAACAATAGGCCGAAATGAAGAGAAACACCGATTAGATATCCTCTGTACGAGTACTTGTAAATGGTCTGGCAGTCGGTAATGCAATGATGTTTTGAGCAAAACGATGTTGTGCAAAACACTCAAATTGTCCGAGCATTATATTTATATTTATTTTGTATCGTTTGGCGCGTCGGTACATATATTTATTTTGTGTATCTGTAAGTGGATGATATGAAGCCATATTAAAAAGATACCAACACCAAAGCAGAACGATAAAAGCGACAAAAACACTCAAAAATGATCAACAAAACGTATTCAATGTATGAGTTGTAGCCGTACCTACCATGCAGGATTGCCTCAAATTGTTTGAACAACGAGGAAAAATAAGCGGCGAAAGAAGAGAAAGAGAGAGACTGACAAGAGTAACCATCGATCTTTTCGATTTTAATAGATACGTTTTTTCTTCAATTAAGTAGTATTTATACATGTTTCGATCGATGTTATTGCTTGTGTGCTATACTTTTATTATTGGTCGCGTGTCTACGTGATCGCTGTGGCAATGACGTCACAAATAAATCATTCATCGTCCATTTACCAGTCAAATTAATTGATTCTTTTTCGTTTGTGAATTTGAATGACCCCGTTTTGCGCTATTATTATTATCACTTTTGATGTTATATAGAACTTTATTTGCGATGGAAGAAATTTCCGCTGAAATGTTATTTTATTGTTGTAGTTGACATATTTACAAGGCTGCTAGATAAAAAAAATCCCGTTGCAATGAGATACCGAAATCGATGGCCTAGTTGAATTGCACATATGCAGGCATTTAGTATTTTTATCAAATTTAACATTATTCAACTCCTACACCGTTTTATATATCACGTAGCCAATCGAATTCCTCTTGGAAACATACACTATATGGTGCCGGTTTTACTCGATTTATTTCTTCTGTATGTTATCTCTCTTGAGATTCCAGCAAGTTTCCGTCGTTGTATATTTTTAATAAAATTGTGTGCGCACAAAATTGGTGAATGCATAATTGTGTTATGTCGCGACATTGAACAAGATAATGAACCGTTCCGAATGCATTGTAGACTGTGTTCAAAGTCAAGTTGGTTTTTAATTTTTTTCGAATATCACGTATGGGTTTTCATTCATTTTTTGTAAACGTATGCTGCTTACATGCTACAATTGTATGCATGTTTACATTTCCAGCCAGTTAAAAACGTTGTAGTTTTAATTAAAACACAATTAATCGCCAATGTAATTATTTTGATGTTTATTGGAAGCCAAAGTTGGTGAACATAAAAGATCAAAATAATATGGCTGTTAGTCAGGAAGAAGCCATAGAATGATTTGATTTTGTTCAATTCAACGGATAAACGAAATAAATCAATGCAAAGCAGATGTTCTAGCAACAAAAATGCACACACTTCTATTGAATATTAACCTTTAAGGAAGCAAATATCAAAACTCTATACAAATTATCATCTGTCTTGCTCTCTCAGATAAAAATCATTTCGAAAACGTCGTAACAATGCACTAACATAAGCACGTAATCTAACAACTACAACATGCTCACAAAAATAACATACAAACGCATACACATACATACAAACGCAATTTTCTACACATACTGTATACGATCCAAAGGCAAAAGAAACGTGCAAAAGAAAACGTAAACAGAAGAAAGTAAAAACATATTAAATTAGGTGAATCAATGTTTCAACAGTTCGATGGACTTTATGGTTTTCGGTGAAATAACTTGCCATACATTTTTTTAAATTTCTTAAATTGCAGTTTTTCAGCACACGTTCCATAATTACTTTGAGCTCTTGAAATAAGCAAAATTTTGAACTCAAAAGATACATTTTATGGTGTCAAAGTCATACATGACAATTGGAACTAAACACTTAGAACCTTTTTGATCAAACAAACTTCTTTTGTGAATGAAAACAAAAAAAAAATTAAAAAAAATGCAAATATAAGCGAACGTAATTTAAAAAAAGATGTTTTTTTCAAACTCACATAAAATAACTTTCATTTTCAAATGAATGCGGTGATTTCAATTGATCGATGTGAAGTTGTCCGCAATTGTAAATATTTGTATGATATTCGGTTTCACATGTACCGCGATTCATATGTACAACGTGGTTTGACGAGAACAAGAGCGGCAAAAGACAGACATACATTAGTGAGCGGCATACACATGCAAAAGTCAAAACATCATAACCAAGAGAATACCGTGGTGTGTGCGGAATGTGAAAGAGACAAATAGATGTAATACACCGAAAACATTGATATAGTGGTTTCGTTCAATCCTTCTGTCACTATGTGGTATACATACGAGGAACGGATGGAGTGCTTTCTCAAGTCAGTATAGTAACACCATCACATCATCGGTCTCCTCGCCAAATCGCACTGACTCTCTGTATTCGGTGTGGAAATGTGCCAGTTGGTTAGTTCGCAGTGAATATTGATGAAGTGAATATATCGCTCCACAACGAAAAAGAAAGAGTGCTGATGTCATTTATATGGGAACAGTTGAAATATTACAAATTTGACGGAAGAAGAGAGACAGATCTACCAGCAAATATCCATTACAGGTTTTTTTCCATAGTGTTCCAATTGTCATTAGTATAATCGGAAACTGTGCGAACATCGAAATTATCAGTACAGTGTGACTGAATCGCTCTAAATGCTCCAATTGTCGTTTTTGGAAAGTGATCAAGGCCAAAATCGACGACGTTTTTTAACATACAGAGCGAAAGAGAGTGACAGACAGACATAAAAAAATCGATTGCAACACAAAATTGGATTTTCGGTAAAGTGAAGTGGACTGATTGCAAATTAAAAGAAGTGAAAAGTCACGAAAGAAAAAAAAAACATTACACTCAAATAGATAAAAATTCAAAATGACCGATGATTTACTAAAGAGAATAGCTCGTGGTGGCGGATGTCGATTGTGTCTTGCTCCCGATACGGAATGTGTTCCAATTTTTGCAACAGCTGCTGCCGACAAGGAGCCACTTCCAAATAAAATTCTTTCATGTGTCGGCATTAAGGTGAGTCAATCAATGACATTTCATATAAAATCAACATTTTCTTTTCGGTTTTGGGTAAAACATTTCGGGCACACGGAAATGGTGCCAAGTACTTATGCTTCGTTCAATTCATTTTATTTGCCAGCTGGTATTTATGGATTTCAATGAGGCGGTTCAAATTGTAGTGGTTATGTAAAACGAAAAGAGAGAAAAAAAAGTTATCAAACGCATCGTGAATTGTGTTTGATTGTGTCATACATGTTTAGTGAGAGAACGAGATAGGAACAGTGAAGATGTTGGAACTACGAAAAAAATAATAATTTAAATGTGATACTGTTGAGAGGTGTTTGCAAAAAAAAAGTCAGAAATATTGTTGCTAATTAGGAGCGATTGTTGGTGAACTGAAATTACAGTGTGTCCACCATCTTGGATTTCATCAGATCCAAGATGGTGAGGCCGAATATGAACGACCACATACTAGTAGCAGCAGCACATTCACTCACTCTCTCACATCATCGTATGCCTTCTCTGTGGGTTTTCAAATCGAACCGAACCGACTCAGTGTGTTCAGCTTTGCCAGCTTTTCGCACTCTATTGTACGTAAAAAGGCTTTCATCATCACATCACTGAAAAACAACAGTTGGCCACGACCACATCAAAAACAGAACAGAGAAGAGAAGAGAGAAGAGAAAAAAAAACACAGAAACAGTTTCGTTCGTTTCGTTCGTACGTCCGTCCGTCTCCGATACACTCGTGGTGTGGTATTTTGTGTGAGCATTTGCGATATGACGGCTGTTTTATTGAGAGCAGAGTCTCTGCTTACTGAACTGAGTAGGTAACACAGAGAATCGACCAACACACTCTGGCAGTATGCTCACATAATAATATTGTAATGGTAATAGCGAGGCTATTGACGGATTTTTCGTTTTCACACAAAGTGAAGTGCTGAACGAGCGATAGAGAGATTTAGCGTGCAAGTGAGTGAATGAGTGAATAAACGAATGAGCCCAAGTCATATCGAAAAACTGAATTGTCGTACAGTACTCGATGTAGCGATGGCGACTCTTTGCTGTTTTCATGCAATGGAAACGGGTCGGTCGATCGAACGGAATAATATAAAGCAAAAATTGTACAGAATGCTCACAATTATTGTATTTTGTGTGGCGCATAAACTACGGTGCTTCACACAGTAAACTGTGATGACGATGGATTTTGATGAGAGCGTGTACTGCAATGTATAGTGAAAATACGGTACAGCACAGTACACCACATCACACATACTGGCTATCGATATGGCGCGCACTGTGCCAGTTCAATCAGTCATTATAGTCGAAAAAAAGTAACTCTCTTTTACTGGTCCTAATTCAAGTGCATATACATTTGAGATTAGCTGAAACGCATATATTTGTGGCGCATTTCTCATGCTGATCATAATGTATTGTTTCGACATCTTCTTTTTTTGAATTAATATCGACTCTTATATTGTTATTGTTATTTTACGAATAACAAAAATCGTAATATTTGTCATTTTTGTTCGATCATCAGATAAATTGAGTTATATCTATAAATGAATATACATATGTGTATATATATATTTTTTTTATCATCGTCATGCGTTGGCAATTCCATTAAAGCCAATCGCAATTTACAGAAAATACTCTCTAATCGAGAAATTTTTGGCCTGAACAAAGCAGGGCACAGAGAGAAACCCGTCGCCTGTATGAGTGGTAGTGCGGATGTAGCAACTAAATGAAGCGTACACAGTACAGTTTTTGAAAAAGCGAACGTGTATGTGATGAGTGATTGTATCTGGTCGTTTCGATTTGCCAGAGAGCGCGTTAGCGGAACGAAAAGGTATACACACTGGTGTTTGGGCTCAACATCACACACATTTTGTACACAGTGTACACGGTTTGGCTATATGTAGACGAGATAAACACTCACTCGATTTCGATGACATGAAAATGAATGAGGGAAAGAAAGAATGCGCGATACAGACATTGTTGGATTCATTGCCTTGATGCAAAAACCTCGACCAAAAAAGAAATTATTCAGCTACAATTTATTGATGAATTTGCGACAATATGACGAAGCACACAATTGGGCTCGTCATTGGTTGGTCGTAGTTGCTGTGGGCGAAACATACTGTACCTTTTTGGCAGTGTAGTTTAATCGGTGATGACGATTATAGCCAAACCAAATGCCAACCTATGGTAAATGGGGATGAACATACATGCTCACATGTAAAATGAGAACGTTAACGAACACTGATAATAATAACCAAACAATCGATTAAATTAACATACACAGTCAACAATCCAGAAAATTTGCCACTTATCTTCTAATCGCCCATAATACTGAGAAGAAAAAACACTCCAATCTGAAATCATCATTTATTAATGCACGCATGAAAAAGAAATGATGTGTATTAAATGCAAACCGCGATTTAGTATGCTGTAATACACAAGCAAGTTAATTGACCTTTATATGGTCTCTAACCTATTTACAATATGCCGGCGTCTTTTCCATTCGCAACTTAACTTAACGATTGACGATATTATGTACACGAATCCATTGTGATTTAAAATGCCCTCATAGGATAGTACGACCGAAACGAGTTCACCGAATCAATATGTGTCTTTTACCTGCTCATTTCTTTATACACACATCTGCCACTACCAACTCCTGAATATTATCTGTTTTGTGAGAGCACACATTCTCCCTCTTCCTTTTTCCTCTCCCTCTCCCTCTCTCTTTTCATTTCTTTCCATTTCCATCATACTCATCCTTCTGATATTTTGGTTTGGCTCCTCTTCAGGTATTTATAAGCCCGGTGTGTCGCTAAAATAGACGGTTTAAATACGCATACACTCTCTCCTTCTCTCTCATTCTCAGCAGAGAGCAATAAGTGATTTGGACTCTTTTCATGTTAGTATATTTCTCAGCATTTAAGGCATACATAAAATAGGTGATGTGGCATCCACACCAAACACAATATCAATCTCTCGCTCTCCACATGCTTTTTATCTTCCGTCAATGTGCGGTGGCAACTGCCAACTGCAATTGCAGATGCACACAGCTCATAAATAAAATCATATTGTGGAACGGAATACATGCATAATTTAGCCGAAATACAAGTGCATTCAATCCCTGTTTTCTTTAAAGGATATTTCATTGTATTTGTTTGCGTTATGCTCAATGTGCATGTATGTGTGTGTGTGCATGATGTGCATTGTGCATATATGTGGCACTCATGTTCATGGCTTTTAAATTGCCTGGATTTTATTAGGCCAATACAAAAATCAAATATGCACACTTAATTAAATATGAAACACTTTGAGAGCGAATGAACATCGAAGCGAGTTCAGCGACGCGTTCGCGCGAACTAACATTTTTAAATGAAGAAAATAATCCATGCCAATTTCTTGTCATTTAACTTCTGTCTATTGATTATAATTTTAACGAGTCAGCAAAATCAATTTATGTGAATAAGAAAAAAAGCACACAACGAAAGAAACTGAAATTATACATGTCATACGATCGTATTATTTTCAAATACATTAAACCGAAACCGAAAGAGTGCGGCTGGTGTATTGATTTAATTTCTTTTTAGTGGGTATTTCTTGCTTTCAGTTTCACGTGCCCAATTATTATTATTATCAAGAGACTCGCATGTGTGCTTCGACCGAATTAATTTGTCAAAGCATGTACATTCTCTCGCGCGACAGCCAACGGCACATATAACAATAGCCGAACCATCATTACACATACGAACACCGTAAAACAATATCAATATTTATCACCTTCATTGTCAGCATTAAGACACTGTACACTGTACAGGTAAATACAGTCTCGCAAACAGAACTTATTACTACGATACATGTCAACGTCAACGAAGCAACTCAATATACGCACACCCATATGCGACGGTGACGGCCACGAAGACAACGACGACGAAAAGTAACAAATTCATGATACAATTACTTGCCACTGCCACAGAAACCAAATTATTGTGAAGAAAAAAAATCGTGCTAAGTCACTTTTCGCCGAAAGCGAAATCGAAAGAGACTCATTCAAGTGTATTTAGACTTGAATTCGAATTCGGGAGAGCAGAAACGACAACATTTTCTGAATCTCACATGACTCATTAAAACGATGTTTAAATGTATTGACGAATGTTTTTTTTTGGCGTTAGTCTGGTTCATATGATATACATTCATACATAAGCTACAACGCTTTACCAATTTGAAAATACTTGAATGTATGGAAGTAGTAATAATCTGGTGGCAGTTTGATTAAAATTTTCGATTTATCAGCCGTCTTATATATGCATACGTATGCGTCTTAGATTAGACTCATTTCGGAATCTTTAGATAAATGGCGCGTGTATGTGTTTGGAAATTATAAATACAATGTTAGTGTTCAGATATCCAAAAGTCTTTTCAACTCCGCTTTTATTTACATTTTTGTCATTTATTTGCAGTTTTTCAAAACACACAATAATCTCGCTGTACATATTGGTTAGAGTAAACAACGAAATGGCCAACGTTCTCAATATTTATTAATGTTACTATGACACTTATTCGTGTTCTTAGAAAATTTGCGAGTTTGTGCACGCATTTTGACCCTAGATTGTTTCGTTGTACATGAAATCCAATGTCAGCAAAATTGATATGTAACATAATTTGCTGTGGTTTGCAATCATTGCGAATAAAGTCATTCTTAATTAATTTTTTTTGTACACAATTTAAGTATAACAACAATGTCAATCAAAAATGATTTATATGGATGAAAATTGAAATTGTTTAAATGTGTCTTCTTTACGGAAGACATAACGCATGGCCACACTAAATACAGGAGTAATTTTACAAATGGATTCTTGGATATGTTAATCGATCGATAATTTGAAATTGTATTTTCATTTGATGCTGCTTATTGAAAAGCAACGCATAATCGCCACTGTAGCCATTTACATGTTTTGAACATTCAATAATTATGCTTGAGCTAGCTTTGGTGTTCCTCGTTCCTCATACCATCTCATTCTTCATGTTTCATACAATGCGCGCTCCTTGCTCACACCAGACACATTCCCCTTTTTCCATTTAATCCTTCTTGTGTTCGAAGCCCCACGCATACAATCGCACATTCATACACACACACGCACACCTAAATTTGGAATTGTACACATTATAATCATTTTCTCAATGATTAGTTTAGTTTACTTGCCGTGGATTGAGTATAATTTGACCTGTATACCATGTTTAAATTGTTGGATAAGGGCTACATTTACCAAAAATCGTTTCGGTTTTCTATTTCGATGATTTCATAAAATGCGACGCAGTTCTACCTTCGTCACAATCGGATGACTCTCTCTATCTATCTCTATCCATCCATCCATCTATCCGTTCAGCATAGGGAACACATTTTCCAATATATCCCGCTGAATGAACACCGAAGTGTAAAGGGATTTGGCATTAGCTCACCACCATATTGTGAAGCTGATTACTACCGCTACGGCTGCTGCTGCTGCTGCCGAATCATATACATCTATCCATTCGAATATGACCGCACCGTGCATTTGGCTTTCATTGGACATAGAGAGAGCAAATGAGTATATGCCAAGAATGGAGAGATACAACACGAAGCAATATTACGAACTCCGTGTTGTACAGTTTCCATCATCCGCCGCCGCCATCACCATCTTATACAGTTTGGGAATTGTCACATCGCTTTCTATTCTTTCAATCTGTAACTGGATATTCAAACCGCATCTTATTCGCTATGTTTGCCCTTCCTTGACTACTGCTTCAACCTTTCCCACTGTTGGCATAGCTGTTGCTATTGCTGTTGGTGTTGCCTGTTTTATGCTTTGTCCGGCGTGCGTTGGTCTTGGAGAATGGTTATTGATTTTTCCCTCGATTTTGATGACGACGACGGTGAAGAAAATGAAGACACATCTATCGGACCCGAGTGATTTACACCCTCATTTTATTTTAATAGAGCATATTGCGTCGCTTCTGCATATCAAATGGAATTTGGTTAGATGTATATTGTATACATCCGATTTTACAACAATGTAAATAGATGATATTTTCAATGTATAATATGACCAATGACGCGTCTTCAATGTGACAAAAAAAACATCAACCCAATCCTATAACAAATGACTAATACTCTTAAGTAAGATTATTACACAAACAACTATACACACGATATTCTTGTTTTGGTACATATTGAGAATGTTATTTAACAAAAGTTCTTCTTTTATAACTCTAAATTCAATTCATTGGAATTGATAATGAGATTTTATTGAATGTACAGAATATATGTTGAGAATGTCATAATAATATTCCAGTATCAAAATCTTAAATCTCAGTATTTTTGGTGGCATAAGAAGTTGTGATTCACAAAAACCCAATACATACACTGTAATTGATAGTCTATATACGCTGTGTGGAACGTATATTTGTTCTCCATTGTCGTTGTTTTCATTTGTTTTGGAAAATGCTTTGGCTTGCATTTGTACGTGCAAATTGTATTGATTTGCTATTTTTGGTTTAACCAGTAATTTGAAGCTGACCGCTTTAATATTGCATGAAATGTCCATTATAAATTTATTGCCATCACCTGAAATCGGGCGCATCAAGCAAAATAATTCCAATATTTACGTAACGAAACGAATGCGCAAAAAGAAACTTAAGTAAAAATAAATTCCAGACAATCGCCCACAATTCTTTTCGCTTCTTTTCTTTATTTTTTCGAATTATGAACGAGGTTAAGCAATAACACATGCAAAATATCATAGATATTAATAAATTGTGTCTACTTTTCATTTCAGATACTGCCTGCGGATCGGATGTCAAATCGGGTGTGCCATGCGTGCATCAGTTTTCTAAATTCATGGCAAAGTTTCAAAAATCGCTGCTATGTCGCACAGAAAAAACAACAAAGTTTTCTCGATTTGTTGTTGGCCAAAGAGCGTGCAAAGCAAAAGATAGAAAATGATCGACAACGTCAATTGCAGCAACAAGGCAAAACATCAGCCAGCGATGATCAACAAAGAATCCTGAAAAATGCACTACTCAATTCTACGATGCGAGCGAACGCTGTTGGCAACACATCGATTGATGTTGTTAGTATTATTTTCCGTTTTGTATTTCTAAACCAAAGAAATGTTGAAAAAAAAATTAAATTTTTTCTCTCTTTTTTCCTCTCTTTCACACGTATAGAGTTTTATCAAAGAAGAACCGGAAGATATAACTAGCGACATCGATGAAATGGATCCAACACAATTTTTAGCTCAGGAAAATGATGACGAAATGGAAATCGAAGAACATCCACCAATTCTAGCATCACTCGGGCTTACCCACATCAGTCATGTAAGATTTCAGATTGTGAAATTCAATACTTTTCTTCTTTCTGCAATGGATTTTAATACCTTGATTTATATTTCTTTCGATTTCATTTCCAAACATCAGCAGCAACAGAATACAGAAAATGCCAACAATGATCAAATGGATGAATCGTATAGTCAGCAAAATGTAAATAATTTAATAGCAGGACGATCACAAGCCAGTTGTACCATTTGTCATATGCAATTTTCAAATCGAGCAAATGCCCGTCGACACGAACGAAACATTCACGGTATTCGAATATCGGTTCAAGGTGCACAAACCATTATTCAGCAAAAAGATAGGCCAGAGATCTCAATTACAACATCAACGGCAGCTGCACCAACCGCTGCACTTAAATTAAAGCGTCCGCTCGATGCGCCAATTATATATGATTACACCAAACCCGAATTGTATCGAACGTACTTGACCGAACCACGTTTGAATTTCATTCGACGTCATTTGGAATTTTTGGAACAATATCAAACGATGACCTGTAAATGTTGTAACAAACAATTTCCCACATATAAATTTTTCATGGCACACATGCGCAAAAAGTATGATACACTGTCACGAAACTTGTGCTTTAAATGCTTGAAACAATTCCAAACGAAGCCACAATTCATTGCACATTTGAAGAAGCGAAATTGTTTGAATTTGTATCGTGTATTCATGGCCGATGATACCATATCAAAAGAACCATTGCCAAATGCACCGATTCGACATGGTTCAAAGGAAATTATCGCAAATAAAACATATGGATGCCGTTTATGCACTGAAACATTCCGATTGAAATCGGATTTCCGTACGCATGTCGTCGACACGCATAGTGATGCACAAAAGAGCGAAGACGCTGGCAACAATGCTTGCGGCTATTGTAATTTGGAATTCGAAGATGGAAACGAACGACGTCGTCATTTCAGCAATGTTGAATGCATGGTATTTTTGATGTGTGGAACATGTGAAGAGAAATTCAATTCACATCCAGAATATATTGAACACGTTTATGCAACGCACATACCATCGGCAAATGAGGCAGAAACACCAATTAAAAATGAATTTTTGCTCGACGATGAAAACGGTCTACTTCCCGAAGATCCAACACCGTCAACACAATCAAAAGCACGAAGTCCACAGAATTGTACTGTATGTGGAAAACAGTATAATAACTATTACAATGTACTGCGACACATGGAATCAAAACATCCCGATCAAGTGCCAACCACATATCGTTGCGATCGCTGCAAAATTGGTTATCCACGACAAGTTGAATTGCGTGAACATATGCTACGAGTGCATAATGAACGTCTTAAATTCGATGCCATTAAAATGAAACGAGAACAATTCAGTTGTCGTGAGTGCAAAGCGTCGTTTGAAAGCAAAGACTCTTGGCTGGCACATCAATTGGATGACCATTCGAAATTTTGGTGTAATCAATGCGACGAAGAATGCGATAAGAAGGAAGAATTTTTGACACATCTTGCTTCACATTCAGAAGCCAAATCATTCAAGTGTCCGGTGTGTCAACATTCATTCAGTTCGGAACGTGGTTTCGAAACACATTTATCGGTCGTACATAATATGACCAAAGAAGAAGTGGCCGAAAGTAATTTAGATAATAGTGACTTTGGTGAACTGCCAGTTGAATGCGCTGTAGAAATTAACGGTGAAGATGATACAGACAACGATGACATTAACGATGCCGATGATTTGGACGGTAATGATGCCGATATCGATGAAACACTTGAAAAACCAGCCAAACGAATAAAACTGGATTTATCGGCAACCGATAATGAAATAACTACACCGCCAAACAACGAGACGTCGTTGAGTACGACATGCCGAATTTGTAAACAATCATTTACAACACGAATTCAATTGATGCAACACATGAGAAGTTCGCATAGTTCAGTATCAAAGCTACCATCGCTAACATCTTCACCTCATGTTGCCGTTCAAACGCATAATGTCAACAATCGTTTGCGGTGCCGAATTTGCCAAAAACGGATTCACACGAAGAACGGTTACAAGCGTCACATGCTTACTGTGCACAATGTAAAAGATTGTGTCTTTATAAAATGCACACTCTGTCCATCGGAATTCAGCAATGACAAAGGATTGAAAGTGCATATGTTCCGAACGCACAATATCACCGTTCAACAAATGCAGGCCGACGAAAGTTTGGTACCAATTCCAAAGCAAGAGTCAACATCACCGACACCATCACCAATTGTGCCAAGAACCGAATCAAAACAAATGTTCGAATGCAACATTTGCCATACGGTTTACCGTAGCCGAGATCAATTGAAATCACACAGAAGCATTGTGCACAACATTACTGATGGGTAACGATCATTTCCTTTTCATTAAAATTCAATCAACTCAATTGATTTTTTTTTTGCTTTACAGAGATTTGAATGAAACGGATCTTTTGGAATCGTTGGCCGAAGAAAATGCGTTCACAGGTGAATCGTGGTGGCAGTGTCGCTTCTGCAATGAATCATTTAATGCATCGAAAAAATTAACAATTCACATGAACAGTCACAGTGAATATGATAACAAAGAAACCAAATGCAAAGATTGTGGAAATGTGTACGGTACACGTAAGTCACTTTGGGTTCATCGTCAAAAGAAGCATCCACGTCTACCAAATCCATCGCCATGTGAACTATGCGACAAGACATTCTTTGACAAAACGGAATTATTCTATCATTTGAAAACACATTCAAACGATGATGTATTCTCACACTTACAAGCAATGCAAGAACAACTCGAGGCCGAACAAGAGAGCCGCCAAAAACAGGAACAATCGAATGATGCACAAGAGAATTTTTCGTGCCATATTTGTAGCCAACGATTCCATGATAAACGTGTACTGAGCAAACACTTACGTGTACATGAACATCAGAAACAAACTGAAACGTCATTCAATAACTCAGCACTGGCAGCAATGCTGGCCGATACAAATATTAGTACCGAAGAAAATCTTGGCGAATACAGTTATCCATCGTATAAGGGTCAAATGGTTGAGAACGGTGAATTTGCATGTGATATGTGTCCGAAGAAATTTTCACATGTAAATGCATTAAAAGTTCATCGTGGTTGGCACTTCCGTTCGCCGGACGGACGACAAATTACCGATAGTAATAGCATTTGGCGACCAGATGTTGGCAGCAATAATAAAAATAAACGTTCACGCGCAGCAAATCCACCCGTATGCCCGTTCTGTAATTCAACATTTGCAAGTGGCAATAATTTACGGCGTCACATTGTCGAAGTTCATAAACGAAACGAGGCGAAAATGATGCGTGAAAATGGAGTAGAAACAACATTCATCGAAAAAGAATGTGAATGTGCTTCTTGTGGCATTACATTTAATACCAGACCTGAATGGGTAGAACATAAAATTTCGCATGCTCGAACGATGAAACCGAGCACCACTTATGAATGGGGATGTGAAATTTGTGGTAAAGTATTTACGCGCAAGGAACGGCTATTGGTTCACATGACATCGCATATGAATGGTGGCGAAGAAGAAATAAATCAGCGCAAAGCTGAAATGGGCTTTGAAAGTAATTCACAAAGTTCGATGTCATCGTTGTCACAACAACAATCAAACGAAGCGACAAGCTTACGAAAAATATCCGGTGAAACAAAATCAAGTTCATCAGTATCGTTGCTGAAACAACCATCGCTACTGAAGCAATCGTTACAAGGAAAGACCACACCATCCATACAGAATGAAGTGAAACTACCACTAAAAACCGAGTCAGTTGAATCACTCGATTTAGATTACGAAAACTCGAATTCATATGAGCAAGAAGAAGAACAAAATAATTCGTGCGGCTTATGTGACCTGTTTTTCAAGAGTGCCAAGGAACTTAAGCAGCACGTTAAGAGTCACATTGAATCGATCGGCGGTCAACCGGAGGAGTCCAACTTAGACGAATATGATGAAGGAGATGACGAAGAGGAGGATGGACATGATGACGGCAATGGCAATTCGGACATTGAAGATCATTATGAAATTGATGAAGGTGTAGAAGGTGTAGAAGAAGAAATGGGCGAAGAAGAAGCCGACATGGTTGAAGAAGATTTTGAAGATGATGATGTGAGTAAAATGAAAGAGTGATGTATTGAACAATTTTAATATGATATTTGTCATTATTATCATTTAACACTTTCACATGTAATTAAAATCGTTTGTTTTTCTTTCGTTTGGCATTTGTGAAGGTTGACGAAGACGAACATGAAGAGCGAAAACCCGAAATAAGCGGTTTCAATTGTCGTTTGTGCGGCAGCAGCAGTGAATCACCACAGTCAATGATCAAATGTATGGATAATCATAATGTGAAAACCAGTATACAATGCGAACAATGTCAATTATATTTCACGAACAACAATCAATTAGAGAATCACGAGATGCTTTGCCATCCGCAAGAGGATTACGATGAAGATAGTGATTAAACGTGCATACATACACGCATAAAACAAAAATCGTTTCAAACCGATTTCCACATGCACATTAGTTTTGAAAAAAAAAAAGAAAGAAAAGAAATCGTATTTCATTTTGTTGTTTATAACTAGAACCCCTTCAATGTGAAGGCGAGAAACTTTACTTAACATGTAATATCTTTTGGAAGAGAATATTTAGATAATAGGTAAAAATAAAAAAAACAAACAAGAAACCAATTTTTTCGAATCTTGATACTATATAAATTCAGCTGCTACTATATAAATTCCGTGCCGCTAGAGCGTCACAAAAATGTTCATGGATTTTAATTTAAAGAAATATTATGTAACGAGAAAACAGAAAGAATTGAAATGGTACATTTTTATGTAGAACATAAATAGTAATAGTTATGATATCTGAAGAATAGTCATTTCCAAGCGATAAAAATTCCTACCTGAATATCACATGAAATGAAAATCAGTTTTAAAAATTTACTTTTTTAATAGAGTTTATCTACGGAAATAGAATGCCAAATTGTTTTTAAGTATATTTCGATTGGTAGCTTGTTTTTAATTGAGAAAGGAAACAAATCTGTTTAATATCTATTTTTGGGCGAAGGATTCATATTGGTTGGTTTTATTTTTTATGCAGAGTTGCACTTCAATGTGTGATGGTATACTTACGCGTCATTCATCGCAAAGAATCGTTCAGAGCAAATAAATTATAGCATTCGATTTTAAGAGTCTTAATAGAGATAATATCTTAAAGTTTAAAAAAAGAAAAAGAACTACAAGTTGTTCATTTCCACACAAAAAAATGATAGAAACAAAATTTCAAGTAAAATTAAGTTGAATTGAAATCGATTCAATTTAATAAAATCAGTTTAAGAAAGACAAATTAATTTTAATTCAATTTCTCCACTGTAACAATATTTTGCATTCGTAGCCGATACACACACGTACATAATAAACATGAAGATTCAACCCCAACATTGACATTAAATTTCTTTTTATTGTTCAAAAATGATGTTTCGTTTTTACATTTTCAATTTTTAAATATGATGTTTTGAATGAGCTTGAAAAGGATGGTACGATATGACTTATGCAAGGAAGTTTATGTTCTAAATATTATAAACTAAAATGTCATTCACTATTTTTATATTTATTGTTTTTCCTTGATTTTTTTTTTCATTAATTAAATATTCCGACGCGAGCGAGATTTGTGATCGGTGTACATTAATATTTCTAAACGAATGAAATGGTAACTTTTATTTCCCAAAAAAATTCTACACATATTTTGACCAAAACGAAATCACAGAATCATTTTGATTCTGTCAAATGTGAATTTCCATTGAAATTTCGTTTTTTTGAATTTTTTTTGTCGATCGTTGGGTAATAGACTGAAGGAATTAGGAAATATTATTTTGTTTACGTATGAAATCAATACGATTAAAATTGACCTTAAAGACTACCAAATCGAATGGAATTTCGATTCGAAACTTCCTCCATCGACTTCAGCTGCTTTTTTTTACTGCTTAACTAAGCGCCAAGAGTGGCTCAAAATCGGCAATATTATCTTTTGCACCAATTTTCGTCTTTTTATACTTCTTCTCTAATTTTGTGTTGGCTAATTTCTTTTTAAATTTACTAATACTATTTTTCTTCTCTTTACGCTGTTCGTCGCTGGTTTCTTTGTCCAACAATTGTAATTGTTCGATGATATTTTTCGGATTTGGATGCGAATCGGTGGAATTTTTATTGGCATAGACAACAACGAACTGTGAATAGGCTGGATCGGTTGGTGTATTTATGTCCGCAAAATCGCGGAAATTCGAAAACTGTTCGTCCGGGAAAAAGGTTTTCGGTATGAATGATGAGTGGGGTCGACCATGGCCGTTATTTGTGTTAAAATAATTTAAAAATTCATCACTTTCGTAACTTGATCGATGCGGTAAATCGTCGCCTTCTTGGTAGAATGTTCCGCCTTTTATGACCCCGAAATCACCTTTTTTTTGTTGAGAAATAAGAAACACATTTTTTGATTGTTAGACCTGTAATTTTTAAAAAAAATAATTTTCTTTTTTACCGGATCCAAGAATCGATTGATCATAGCTGCGGGCACCACCAAATCGGCCGCTGGTTTCTTGACTCTGGAAATATGGTCGAGAATGTCCCAATGGCGGTACTGAAAAAGTCATACAAAAACATGAAAAAATGGATATAAAATATTTTTTGAAAAAAAAAAAAAAAAAAACGATTTTTACCGTTTACGTTACGGAAAAATGATGGTGGGAAAATATTTTGTGCTGCCGGTGGAGCTCGCGTATCTTCAATTGAACGAATTCGTTGTGGTACTGGTCGTTCCAAATGCACATATTCCGGTGCTAATGATCGATATTCTCCGGATCGAAATTCGTTTGAACGAAATTCACCGGATTGAAAGTAGCCGGCTGTTGCATGTGGCGGTAGCAAAGCGGTTGCACGAAATTCATCAGGTTCCATTAACATATCAGAATCATCTTCCTCTAGATGCTCTAAAGGAAAGTAAAGAAAGAAAATCAATTATTTAGATTGTATTTTGAAACACGAACAAAAAAAACGCGGTATGCAAAGTATTATTTCATTAGAGTTGGCATTTCAATGCTCTTCTTGTGCGCTATTATAAAATAATGTACTTCATGACGTCGTGACTTATTGAATACATGTTCACGTTGGCAACAAGAAAAAAAAATTGAAGAGAAGAGGGAGCTCGGAACAGTGTACATTTTACATGTTTCACTGTTCTCTTCCGATGTCTATAAATAATGACGGAACGTCGAAGTGGTTTTATTCCTACAACACAAAGACGATGTATCGAATGGTACAATATGCATACGATCTCTTCATTGTTTAGAAAGTCATAGTGATTTCTTTTCACGGTTTTGTGTTGGCATTATTATCAATAATCGTATATTCCATATATCAAAATAATGCAAGATAATTTTCCATGCCCTGTGTTAAAAGCAATGGTTTTGTGTTTGGCAACTCTTCTGCAATTTATACAAACACACACAGTTTCATGTTTGAAAGGTCTTCTCTGATGATCTTTGCTTGTTACTTCTTATATTGTCTTTTGAACTGTGTTGCATGTACGGCATACATCAATTCAAATTCACTGAGAATGCTTAAAATAAATCACTTTTCTATTGGAATTACATTTCAAAATTAATTCAAACATTAAATGAGACTAAAATTTTACGAAAACCCTCACGACGAAATGAATTTTGGATCACTTTCATCTGAAAATAAAAAATAAAAAACAAACCAACTCATTAAATCAAAATGTACTCATTTAAAAATGGATGTTTTTGTCTCTCGCATGTCGTCATCGTTCCGAAGCTCACTCAAGCGCAAAAATTAATGTGTAAAGTGAAAGCCATTCAAAGAATAATCCAATGTTTCAATGTGCATGTTGTGTTTAGTCTTTTGTTTTCAGATTTCTGGCGTCGATTTGTATAAAGATTTCAGACAATCGCATATACTATGATCAAAAAGTCAATCGAAAAGTGGTAATTTTAAGCATGATTAACGAAATTATAGCAAATTTTCAATTTAGATATTATACAAGAAAAACGATGCAAAATGGCAAAAGAAATTATTTTCAAAATGCAAAGAATCCATTGGGTGAGACAAACATGCCGTGATCATGCACTTTTTTGTTTCGAATCAATCAACAAAGTGAGAATTTAGTCGAGAGGTAACTGCCCTGAAAGCTGAAACTTTAATTGCTCAAAAGTGCATTCGAGCTCAAGCTTCAGGTTATTGGTGTTGTGCATTTTCAACTGAATTCCATTACATTGTGCACATTCGTCATTGAAGTTTTTCTACACAATATGAAATAAACACGATTGAGTGATTTTTTGGCTGTTGGAATGTTCACAGTCGGTTGGTAATAATAATATGTGGCAGTGGCTCATATATATTGTCAACGCTTCAATCACACATCACAAAATTCCATATGCACCTAACAAAATTGAATTCAATGCCTCTAGAAGCTCTATGTCAAATAAAAATCAAATTCAATCGAATGAGACAGTGTGACAGTTGTATGTTTTCCCTTTTTGTTTGGTGTATGACAAAACTCACTGTTTGTACACACGATAATATAAGTATTTTTTTTTTCAAACAAAACTACTTAGACGCGCGAAGAACGGACAACGAAGTTGAAAGGAAAAAAAAATATGCGTGTACATGTTGTAAATCATATAACATTTAAACTTGAAATAAAAGCGTTCGCTCTCAGTGAATTTCAAGGTCTATGAACCGCATTGATCGTTTTCAGTGCGCCGCGTACACTTTTTACTTGTGCAAGATTCAATGAAATTGGATATTTTAGATTGCCGTTTCTCTCTCTCTTTCTCTTGCATACAAAATACATTGATTCAAAATTGCTAAGCGCACTGTGATATATCGATCGTTTCGTAAAATCAAATAAAGCAAAACAACGGAGTTCATAAATTTCTTCATGCCATGAAAATTCGTAAACTGTTACAATAATTTACTCTGTGGCGCATAAACCCACGGATAATTGCAAATTTTTCGTTTGGAAGCCGAATCACGCCGAATAACCAGACAAATTTGCGCACAACCAACACTCATTGATCGTTTCAATTGCTCAATGTATTTCACATATCAAATGCACCGAGAAAATGTTACAACACTTGCTTTTGGCCTTTGCGACTACAATTCATTACATTTTGATAGAAACAAAAGGTGACAACATACGTATCAAACGGCACACAACGGTACGATATTAAAAGCACATATATATTTTAATTTTCCATACCGACATTTTATGACTGCACAAAGAGTTCGAATTGCACACCCAAATTCAACTGATCTTCTCACCCAATGCGCAAAACGTGATTCACACTGAATTTATTTCGTTTTAATACAATCGATTATTGTTATGCACGATTTTCGATTTTGAGGCAAGTCATAACACACATATATAAAGCACACTCCAAATGAATGCATTGTTGGCAACTACTGTCGACAGTATCTTGTCAAAAAAAAAAAACAACCCAACCATTTCTAGTGCTGGAACAACAAATGGCAAGTTCTATTTTCAAAATAGGCGTACAAACGGAGAATGATGAGATTGGTGGTAATATATTTATTGCAACATCGCTTGACACCACATATCGCACGTAGGAATGAATAATTTGTTGAAAATTTTCGATTATGTTGGTTGTCAGCATGACCATAATTTATATTCACAATGCAATGCACTTTATCACCATTACGTTTACAACTTTGTCGAGTAATTTAATTACGTAGGTTGCTCCATAATTTTTTTTAAAATGGTACTTATAGTGTTGCCCGATGTAAACCATTGTCATATTCGTAAAGTTTGATGTTTTGGTATGTATTCGTGCCCTGAACCTTTTGTCGTACGAACGCTATTTGTATTGTTTACAGTGACTGGCATAGCTGGGCAGACAGGGGGGGAGGGGGGGGATTACCCCCTCCTGAGGCATCAAATTTTAGCGTTACCCCTTTACAAAATCAACAAATTTTTGCGTTACCCCTTTACAAAATTCATGATTTTGGATAGAATTTTTCTCATTTTGCTAGGGTTTTTGGATCATAGATGAAATTTTCCTATTTTGCTAGGAGTTTTTGAGAAAATTACCCCCCCAATCCCCCCCCTGAATTTTTCAGTCTGCCCAGCTATGGTGACTGGTAAACTGCGACTCAACAAAAAAATGAATTTTACACGTGAAGATTTTCGTAAAATGATTTACTACGATTTTCGAAGTAAATTATCTCAACAACAGTGTTTCGATCGACTTCATTTGGCCTTTGGCAATGAAGCACCAACCCTTCAGACAATTTATAACTGGTACCGAGAATTCCGTTGCGGTCGTAGTTCGCTCAAAGACGAGTTTCATACAGGTCGTCCAAAATCGGCTGTTGTGCCACAAAACATCGATGCTGTCAGAAAACTGATTATGGAAGATCGTCATGTGACCTACCGTGAGATTGAGGCATCTTTGGGCATTTCATCCCACAGCATACATACAATTTTGCATGAACATTTAGCCGTAAAAAAGATTTGCTCTCGTTGGATCCCACATAAATTGACCGATGAACAAAAAATGGCTCGTGTGAGTTGGTGTAAAGAAATGCTCAAGAAATTCAATCGTGGTGCTTCAAAAGACGATAATAAAATCGTCACTGGTGACGAATCGTGGATATATGCCTATGAGCCCGAAACGAAACAGCAGTCGACTGTATGGGTCTTCCAAAATGAAGATAACCCAACGAAAGTTGTTCGAGCAAGAAGCACTTCGAAGCGAATGGTCGCCTGTTTTTTCGGGAGAAGTGGTCATGTGGCAACCGTTCCACTAGAGGATCGTAAGACCGTCAATTCTGATTGGTATACCACCATTTGTTTGCCCGAAGTGTTTGGTGAAATAAGAAAAAACAACCACCGTCGCAAAATAATTCTTCATCACGATAATGCGAGCTCTCACACATCTTTTCAAACTACTCGATTTTTGACCGGTCAAAACATCGAACTGATGGGTCATCCACCGTACAGTCCTGACCTGGCACCCAATGACTTTTTTTTGTTCCCAAGCGTGAAGAAAAAACTACGTGGTCAACGATTTTCGACACCAGAAGAAGCAGTTGAAGCGTTCAAAACACACGTTTTGGAGATATCAGTTTCGGAGTGGCACGAATGCTATGACAAATGGTTTCATCGAATGCAAAAGTGTATCGATCATCTCGGGGAATATTTTGAAAAACAATAAAACCATTTTCGACAAAAAACAACTGTGTTATATATGTTTTTAAAAAAAATTATGGAGCAACCCTCGTACAATTCAATGCGGTGCGACCGTGCCCTTTTTCTTATTTAAAATGTATTAGATCTCTTTGAAATGTCTCACAGTTGGATGTTTTCGGTTTAAATTTTTGTTTCGCTTTGACCAGATATTTTGCCACCACTTTTTTTTTAAATCCAACTTCTCTAAAAAGATTGTAATTTCTCAACTTTTACATCTAATCAATTACTTTGTACACATTTTAACAACAAATGTACAACAATATAAAACATAGTCTTTTAATTGTAATTGTCTACACTTTCTATATTGCGGAGCGACTATCCGTGCTCCTTGATACATGTATGTCAAATCGAGAGAATGTTTCAAAAAGAATGTTGAAAGTGTGTGGAATTTTTTTTAACTGGCTAATTCAACATTTTGTAACGAAAGAAAATTAAATTTGATAAATAATAATTTAAACATTTCCTTTCTCAAAATCGTGTGTGTGTTTGTATGTTATTTGCATAATTCCCAATTAACTAAAACAAACATGTTAACTTTTCACTTCGCCAAAGTAGAGAGTGTAGTTTTTTCTGCTCTGGACGAACATAGGAAAATGTGATGTCAAGTGATCATTTGAATCATTAAGTACTACTCAGTTATGCCTCGACTCGTTTGTCTATCGTCGATTGGGTGTGCAACAAGTTGCGAGTGGCAATTTC